TCAAGAAAAAGAGGGGCCCCGGTCCTAAACTCCCAAAGGTTCACAATTTGGCTGAAGAGATCGAAGACAGCGACCAAAACAAAGCACCCGAGGCGGGTGATCAAGACAGAAATACCCCGTAAGCAGACAAAACAGGAAAGGCTCGCCTAAGCGGTGAGGCCCGGGCCAAGCCTTGAAGGACGGGCAGAATTTGGAGAGATATTTCCAGAGGGCAAAACATATCACCCGCGGCCCTACGGGCTTCCGGGAATCCTTCCCCCTAAACGGTGGCGGTGACCGAGTCTTGGCGGCAGCAAAGCCCCCAGACTAGAAAGCAGGGAGGTTCGAGTGGGGGTGAGGGGTCCAGGTCAGAGCAGAACAGCGTGGCCAAGATGCAAGAGGAAGCCTCAGCTAGGAGGCTCAGGAAGAGCCTAGCCTTAAATTGCCCCAGTAGAGCGCACCGAGCCACCAACCCCGCGGAACACCGAGCCAAAACTTACCCAGCGTCGGCTCCCGAGCTCTCCAGTTCTCCACCTCACACCATCTACCGGGAGGGCGTTTGAGCGACGGCCAGCGACAGCCAATCACCGATCTCGGACAGACTGGCAGCCAATGGTCGCTGCCTCTGACGGAACCCGTGCTCACCAAAACACGGAAGGGGCGGAAACGGTGGGTGGTGCTCGCCGTCGCGGCGGGAGTGAGGAGCAACCGGATGCGGGTAAGAATAGCGTGGGTCAGAGCCCGGGCTCCAGGGCGTCTAGGGGCCTGAATTTCCCCTATTGCGCATACTCGGCGCGCGGCACCAATGGGCATGCGCAGTGCTCGAGCTTGGTACCCTGCGGGGTCTCGTTGCTCTTTGACTCCTTGCTTTAGTTAGCTGGCTGCGTGGGCAACTTCCAGGAGGTGTGGTAGGCTAGCTGCCCAGCGCTGCCACCCGCTCGGCGCAAACTCATGGCCCTGTCTCCATCCTTAGCTGTCTTAAATATTGTTATTTTTGTGCCCGTTTCTTCTCTTACCCCCAAATCTGCTTCGCTTGTCTGCAGGCTCAGTGAACGACAATACCATCCATCCACTCTTTCAGGTCAGAAACCTTGCAGTCATCCGCATTTTCCCCTTACTTTTCACACCCAGTCTATTGCCAAGTTCTGCGGATTTTATCTTTTAAAACAAGGATCTCTTAAATACGCCCCCGTTTATCTTTGCAGCCTCCGTCCTAAATCCATAAACGACGTCCAGCCCAGATTTCTCGTCAATCTAGCTGGTCCCAACTGCATGCACTCTTGCTTCGCTACACAGCGTCCTCCACGGAGCACTCACTATGATCTTAAAAACAAACAAACAACAACAACAAAAAACAGATCTGATGAAGTCGCCACGCTGCTTTAAATAACTCAAAGGCTTTCTATTATCTGTAGGGCAAAGCCCCCAAACCAAACCAAGCCTTTCAAATCATATCCTCCTCCACCTCCTTTCTTAATCCTGAGCCCTACATTTTTTTTCAGTTTCTCCGCATCTAACCTCCTATCACTTTTCATGCTTTGTACCTACTCTTTTTGCTCCCTGAAATAATCTTCCCCTTCTCCATCTCACACTTATTTGATTGATTACTACTCATTCTGGTCTCAGCGAAGATACTTCTTTTCAAACCCCGAAGTTTTCCTTGACAGTCCTTTCCTGTATTTCCCAGTACAGCTCCATCACATTATGGATATTATTTTGTTTACCTGTTTATTTGACTGCATCCTACACTAGTCTAGTCAGTGAGGGGGGACAGGGATTATGTCTCTTTCTTCACCTTTATAACCCAATCACTTAGTCCAGTGGCTGAAATTTAGTAATTTACTCAGTTCAAGTTGTCAAATAAGGGCTGGGGGTTGTGGCTTAGTGGTAGAGTGCTTGACTTGCACGCGCTCTGGGTTTGGTCCTCAGCACCACATAAATAAATAAAATGAAGATACCGCGTCCATTTATGACTGAATAATAATAATAAAAAAAATTTAAAAAGATGTCAAATAGGGCTGGGGTTATGGCTCAAGAGAGTGCTTGCTTAGCATGCTTGAGACACTGAGTTCGATCCTCAGCACCACATAAATGTAAAATAAAGATATTGTGTCCACTTAAAAACTAAAAAATAAATATTTTAAAAAAGATGTCAAATAATGTACCTTACAAAAATTCAGTGGGATTGACATTTTATTGACATAATTTTCTGTATCTTCTAACCTAAAAATAAGCCTAATTTATATAATCAGAAAACCCATTAAATGTTTAATAAGTTTAGAGATGCATTAAAATAGATCATGATTGGGGGTATATCTCTGGGCACTCAGCACCACATAAACAAAATAAATAAAATAAAGGTACTATGTCCATCTATGACTAAATAATAAGAAAAAAAATTTAAAAGATGTCAAATCATGTACAAATCATATACCTTAGCATTCATTGGGATTGATATTTTATTCCCTTATAATTTTTTATATCTTCTAACCTAGAAATAAACCTAATTTATATAATCAGAAAACACATTAAATGTTCAATATAAATAGGTTTAGAGATGCATTAAAATGGATCATGATTTGGGGTATAGCTCAGTGGTGGTACAATGTTTGCCTAGTATATGGGAGGTCCTGGATTTGTTCCCCAGGACTGCAAAAGAGAAAAGAAAATGTCCAGTTTGTGCATAAGTTTTGTTTTGAACAATGCAAGAGTGAATTATAAATTGTACCTTGCCCCCTGCCCTTTTATTTTGTGGTATTGAGGATTAAATCCAGAGGTGCTTTACCACTGAGCTACATCCTCAGTCCTGTTTTTTTGTTGTTGTTAATTTTATTTATTTTGAGACAGGGTCTTGCTAAACTGCCAAGGCTGACTTTAAATTTGTGATCCTGCTGCCTCAGCCTCCTGAATTGCTAGGACTACAGGCAGGTGCCACTGCACCTGGTGCTTGGTCCCTATTTAAAAATATAATTCAAAAATAACCTGGGGCTGGGGTTGTAGCTAAGGGGTAGAGCACTTGCTTTGCACATGCGAGGCACTGGGTTTGATCCTCAGTACCACATAAAAATAAATAAAATAAAGGTATTCCATCTACAACTAAAAAAAATTAAAAAATAACAAAATATATTTTTTATCAACTTTATTCATTCAGAAGTACATTTATAATAGTGCTTCATGAAATGCCAATTTCGTTTTAATTCCATTTTCAGTGATGAAAATGACCATTAGCTTTATTTTAGCAATTTCATGAAGAAAAAGTTAAGTTACAGAGCTGTGTGAACTTCAACATAGGTTTCAGAGCAAACTTTCAGTATTGCTCTGGGACCAATCTCTGTTTCTGCATCTTAAAGCAGTGTCTTGTTGTCTAGCATAGTTTACTTCCACCTCAATCAGCTTCTGTTGAAAACAAGCCACAATTTTGGCTGGATAATCCAGACATATGCTGAGATTTGTTATTTTTTTTTAATTTTTGTAGTTGTAGATGAACAGAATGTCTTTTTTGTTGTTGTTGTTGTTTGTTTATTTTTATGTGGTACTGAGGATCAACCCCAGTGCCTCACGCATGCCAGGCAAGCGCTCGGCCACCGAGCTATAGCCCCAGCCCCTGAGATTTGTTCCTTAAAAGCTGCTACAAAAAAATTAAAGCATAATTCATTCTCATTAAAAACGGTGGATCTCTTTTGACAGTGTGAAATGGATAAAGTTGATGAAATTATATTTCATATTTCTTTTGCCCTTTTTTTGTGGTGCTAGGCAAGTACTCCACCAAGCTACATCCCAGCCCTGCATTAATTTTTAAAATTACTATATTTGAAATGAGATCAGGATTATCTTCACTATAACAATATGTGACTGCATTGATCTCTGGGTGCTCAGCACCACAAGCTGAGTATAATTTCCAGTTACCATGTATTCAATCCTAGGTCCAGTGGGAATCTGAGATCTGCCCTCCATCAACAAAAGTTTCCCATGATATTATAAGTTCATGGTGTTTGCCTGTCTATCATACTGGTAAACAAACTGCTCCTTGGTAACTACTATAAGTCACATTTATCAGGCTACAGAAAACAGCTTGAAAAATCTCTCTTGAGTTTTCAAGACCTAGATTTGAACATTTTACTATATAAAAATTAACCAAATACTAAATATCTGCACTTCTAAATATCCCATCTTCTGTGACTAAAATGGACAGGAGCATAGGGAATATTAACAATTTCATGCTCTCTACCCAAAGGCACATGGCTTGAACCCTCTGTGGTACAAGCAAGTCATAGAATATCAAGGCTAAAAGTAACCTGAATGATTATTCAGATCATCTTTACGTCAAAGATGAGGAAGCTGAGATTCAGAAAGGACTAGTGTCCTGTTCAAGGTCACTCAGTGTTTGTGGCAGACTCAGTAACAGCTTACCTGGTTTAAGGTCTGTATAAGATCCAGGAAGACAGGAACCAGGGACAGAATTTGCTGGTATTGCTAAAACTTGCCCACAATTAGGAATAAGACTTTTTATTATGATGAAACACTTGTAAGACTTCCCCCTCCTCGTTTCTTCTGAGGCAATAGTTGATACTTACTTAGCAATGATGATGTGCAGCAGACTTCTAAGCACTTTACTCATTTTCATCTCACCCACAACTGAATGGTAGCTGCTATTACCACAGTCCCCATTTTACAGATGAGAAAACTCAGATTTTATAACTTGCCCAAACTCACACGGGTAATTAGCAGAGCTGGGACTCAAATCCAGGTAGTCTCATTGTAGAGTCCATGCTCTGAACTCTACCATGTCCTGGAGGGAGCAGCCTGCTTGAGAAAAGGGGATGAAGATGCTGGACTAGCTAATAAGACATTTTTGCTGCAACTTCACCCTTCCAGGCCTCTTGCTTCTTCTATCCTCTCTACATGTACCTTTTTCAGTGCAGGAACATTTGCCCCATCTCACTAATTGGATCCCTATCTCTCATCTTTCCATTCTTCAATCCAAAGTCTATTTCCTTTTCAAAGGATAAGCAATTGCCCAGTTTATAAACTCCAATTTGACTTTAATTTAATAAATTAAATTCCAAGCCATCACACAGCAATGGACGTCATCATCCCCCAACATACAGAGGTGCAGCCGTGCTCTTGCTCCATTCACAGTCTTTAAAGCTCCTCAAGCCATCTCTCTGGGGAAGGCTTCCCACCAGGCTCCTGGTTCCCTCCTTCAAACTGAGTCATTACTCGGGGAGAAATCATCAAGTACAAAAATGGTAATAAAGGGGGAGGGAGGAATGAGGAGCAGGAGGGGAGGCAGGGAGGTGGGGAGTACCTGCCCCCCATCCCGGGCGCTGGCCTGGCTTCCTATGAGCCGCCAATGTCCTCAGAGGCAGACACTGGTGCTGGTCTGAGTAGGGACCTGAGGGAGGTATGGGAACCCTTCCTGGGAATTACCTACCCTCCTGGTACAGAAAAGAAGGGTCACCTAGGAGATGCCTTCTGTCATCTGTTTGCTGAGGGTCCTAGACCACGCATATAAATAGAAAAGAGAATAAATAAGGGAGGAAGGACCTGCTGAGGAACTGAGCACCCTGGGACTCCTTGTGGGGGGGGGGCCAGTATCAGCAGGGGGCCAAGGCTTCTGAGGAATGTCCACACATGCCAGGACAGAGCCCATCTCTTACTCCCAGCTATGAACGTTCTTCTGTGTCCACAGCAATGGATGCCCACTTCTTGAACACTTCCCACTGCAAGTACCCTTCCAACTGGCTCCAAAGCCCAGGCTGGACAGGGTTTCCTGGAACCCAAGGGCTCTCCTGGCCCTGGCACTGGGAATCCAGGAAGGGGTACAGAAGAGGATGTGGGGAATGGACTGAGAGAACTGTTGCCCTCTCCTAGCTCAGGAGGTAAGGAGGGCCCTCAGAGCTGGGGGCTGGGGTTGCCATTGGCCTTGGGTTTGGATTTGAAGGAAAAACGCTTGATAAGGCGGCGAGAAAAGCTGCCAGCCTTCTTTCGGACACTGGGTGTTGCTGTCGTGTTGGAGAGGTCGTCGTGTGATTGGCTCAGACCAGCTTCCTTCTGTCGAGGCCTCCGGCGGAAAATGAGCTTAGTGCCACTGCGCAGGAAACTCACTGTGGGGAAAGAGGGTGTAACTGAGGCAGAGAGAGTGGCATGAGGGGGTGAGGTGTGAGAAAGACAGAGAAAGGACCAAGGATGGAGGGTCAGAAGATGAGGAACAGAACCAGTGCCCTGGCAGACTTTCTTAGGAAGGTAGAAGGCAAACATGTGCTTTATCCATCTTGAGGAAGAAATGGTGAGTTCATAGCTATGGTTGCACTTGCCCCTCTGATTCTGGCCCAAAGAGGAATGTCACAGGTCAGCTGCTCTGAGAGGACAGCTTGGAATTGGGCTCTTTCTTATGGAGAGACAAAGGCCATGCAGAAGGTGTTCCCCCAATGTCTATAAATCATGAAGAAAAAGGTAGGTTGACACTAACTTATTTACTGCATTCCAGGGTGTGCACAGGAAGTGGTGCATCAAAACTTCAGTGAGGTAAATTCAGGACCAAGAGGACGAAGAAGGTGCTTACACAGCAGGCTTTGGACTTAGGAATCTCATCATCCCAAGAAGTGATGTAGGCTTAAATCATAAACAGATTCATGGTTGATAGGCTCATTGGTCAACAGATTAATATGTTTCGGGGTAAGCCTTTAAAGTTAGATCTACCAGCAGGGCATGGAGGTGCACGCCTATAATCACAGTGGCTCGGGAGGCTGAGGCAGGAGGATCACGAGTTCAAAGCCAGCCTCAGCAACTTAGCAAGGTGCTAAACAACTCGGTCTCTAAATAAAATATAAAAAAGGGCTGGGGATATGGCTCAGTGGTTAAGTGCCCCTGAGTTCAATCCCCAGTACAAAAAAAAAAAAAAAAAAGTTAGATCTACCAGACCAGTCCACGGCCTGTGTCACTGTGAGAGGTATAATCCTAACATTCGCCAGTGTAGAATGTCTTATACTCATGGGGTATGGGTAGGTTCAGCACAAAGGGGAAGAATTAAAAACAAACAAACAAAAAAAGGCAGGCAGACAGGCCTTTAGACCCAGGAAGGGAAAAAAAAAAAAATGGAGGTAAAGGGAAATCATTTGGCATCCCTTCCTGTCACCCAAGCCTGTCAGATCCAGGCCAGGAACTGAAGCACCAAGTTCCCTTCTCTCCTCTGGCTTGCCTGCACCTTAGGGAAGGAAGGAGAAGTCAAGTCAGCTGAGCCCCTCATGTCCCTAACTGTTTAGTAGGACCAAGGTCACAATACTGGGTATAAAAGCAGGGGGCATCCTTCCAATATCTTCCCACCTTTGTGATCCTTGAGGCTGCGGGTCTCCAGGGCACCCGTAGACCCTGTTTCTGACTCCACATCATCCACCGATGGCCTCTCAGAAATATCTGAACGAGTTGTCTCATCTGCTTCCTGGACACTCGTGGGACTAGAGAGGGCATCTAGAGGTCCTGGGGATGTGGCTGGTGGGTCAGAAGGAGGTGAAGAGGGACCTCCACTGGTGCCTGCATCTTCCTGCATTGAGGCTTCCAGGGAGGCTGCATAGCCCAGGGATAATGCCAACTCGTCCTGAGCAATGGGCACCTGGCAGAAGGGATGAGTTTTAATGTGCAGAAGTGACCCATTAGGGCTTTTTCCCTAGCCCAGCTCCTTTCTCTAGAGCCCTGTTACCTTGGAAACCCCAGAGATGATGAGAGTGCTGCGCTTGGTGGGTGTCTTCTTGGCTGCCCGCCCACTGGGCTCAGTCAGCTGGCGAATTGCTGTCTCTGCTACTGGGTCCAAGCCATTGGAAAGGTGACTCTCCCCTGCTGGGTGCCCAGAGAATAGATAATCTGACTTCTCCCTGGCATCTTCTTGGACTCAAACTCCTCCTGCCCCACCCAAAGTGGTTTTTGACTATAGTGCATCAGTGCCCAGCAGTCACACATGCCCATTCCCCACTCACGGCTACTGCTGTGGGAGGCATTGCTGGGGCCGCTGCTCTCACTCAGCACAGTTGTCGTCTTCTCAGTCACCTCCACCTTGGACGGGGAGCGGGAGGGGGAGTCTGGTGGGTGGGGGAGGGTCAGTGAGCTGGGAGGTGCTTTAGAGTGGCCCCCCTACTATCTTTGTCAAGATGCAGACTTTGGTTGACTCAGAGGTAAGAATGATTAAGGGATGATTAACCACTAGGGTGATTAAGAAGATGCCAAGGGGACAATAAGATACCACAGGAACCAAAGGGAGTGAGGAAAGTGCCATAGGGCCCATTTAAGAGTTTGAGCAGATGTCATAAAAATATGGAGAGTGTACAGAGGAGGTACAGGGGCTCCTGGAGGTAGGGGAACTGCCATGGACTCCTAAAGATGAAAGAAGTATGATTGAGGGCCACTGAGGGAGAAATGCCACAGAGGCTACTAGGTGTGTTGGAGGGTCTCCAGGGTGTTAGAAAGTTGAAAATGAAGGAAAGGACAATTAGTCAGTTGGGACTGGAGTCAGAGAAGGAAAGAGACCCATGAAAAGACAGAGGGGAATGTGGACAGGTAGAAGAGCAAGAGTCCTGTATGAGGGATTGGTAGATACAGAAAGATCTGAGGATGAGAAGAGTAGCTGGAGAAATGGAGGGATGTAAGGAAAAGTGTGAGAGAGAGATCATGAGGAAGAAGTGGCAGGATGAAAGCAGAATGCCAAGAAACAGGGTTCTCTTTCCCTGTTCTGCCATGGGTTTACAGTATATGGCCCCTGGCTAGAGCTGGGCTTCCAGGCTCCTTCTCTTTACCTAATTTGCCCTCTACACGGGGCCGGGACTGGACAGTGGTAACAGTGGTGACAATGGTGCCATCAGGCATGATGGTCCGATCCAGCTCAATCTTCTTAGTAGGTGTGATGCTGGGGCGTGGAGTGGAGGGAGTGGGTGTGCCCAGGTTCCCAGGGGAGCCTTCCTCATACTGCAGCTGCCAAGGGGTGGGAGGGCAAGGTGTCAGGGCCTCAGAGTCACCCAGGCCCGGTGACCACCCATTCTCCTCCCCCCGAGGGATCAGCTTCTCACCTCTGCTGCCATGGTGGCTGCTGGGCCCAGGGCTTTCCCTGGCCCTGGGGTGAGTGGGCACACCTGTCTTCGAGATAGTGGTCTGGAGGGGGGGCCCACAGGCAGTTTGGCCTGGCCCAGGAGCTCAGCTGGGGACAGGGGTGGCACTGTGAGCTGGACCCATGACCAGGCCCCACTCAGTACCCACCCAGAGTGCCCCTTTTGCCCCACACTCACTGTCTCCACAGTTGCCACTCCTTAGCACTTTGAGGGTCAGCTCCCGGCTCTGGGGGCCTAGATCCCTGTGGGCCAAGACATACCAGGGAGGGGGAAGATTAGTACACTGAACCCACTCTTGGATCCATCACAGGCCAGAGGCAGAAAGATAGATACATAAATTAGAGTACTGGAGCTCTGATCAGATTATCCTATTCTTCAATTCTTCCATCTTCCCAAGAGAATGGGGCAGAGCCTGAGCATAGATAGCTCTCTTTAGGCAGGCATTCAAATGCTCCAGCCCTACTCTACCCTGACTAGCTGATCACTCAATCCCAAACCACCCTCTTCCATTTGCTCAAGCTGTTCTTTCTGCCAAGAATACTTTCACACTCTGTTACTCCATGCCACCTCCTCCATGAAGCCTACTCTGATCCTTATTCCACTATGAGAATTACCTCCCCACCCCATGAGGTGTGAACCTCATTGGCATGCTTGTACTATCTTTTCTATGTACATCTGTCACTGCCTCAAGCCTGTGATTAACCTAGGGGTTGGGGCTGTATCTTGGTCATGTCTATATCCCCAGGACCTAGGTTAGGGCCTGGCATATGATAGAGGCTCACACCAAAGTCTACTGAATGCAGAACTGATTCATGCCAGAGCTATGCTAGAAGGGTTTCATCCTCAGTCTGCCCATGGGAGCAGGGGTTGGGGGTGGGGTCATTCCTTACAGAGCCAGGTCCTCTGTCCATTCCACCTCGGGACCAGCCCTCATAGGCTTGGTCCATTTCTGTTGCATGGGGTTGTCAAGCTCAGCTACACAGCACAGTTCCTCATTGCCTGTGAGTAACCAGAAGTTGGAAGATGCTCAGACCAAATATGGGAAGCTATGGCAGAATGACAGGGAGTACCTGTGACCATGGCCTTGCCAGTCCTCTAGCTACTTCTACCTCTCACCTCTCAGTTCACTTCCTAGATGAAATGCTCGAAGCTGCCGTAGGAATAACCGGGTGGGTCTGATGATGGATGTCTGAGCCTGGGGCATCACGAGTGGCTTCTCACTGGGTACCTAAAAGGAGGTAAAAAGAGTAATAATCCTGATATAGTGCCCTGGGGATAGGGTGCATGCAAACCTTTTTCTTTGGGTTTCTACTCACCAGGCCTCCAGCGGCAGAGCAAGCCCTGAGGTTGACCATCATGGCTGGCTGTGTGCTGACTATGGCATCCTTGATCAGTTCCTCAATTGTTGAGAGTTCTAGTTGCTCCTCACCTCTCTGCAGAAAGGAAAATGAAGAGTTGGAGTTCCTGCTCTGCCTGCCTTGCTGTTCTGCCTATTCTCTTCCAGCCTTCTCTTCTTACCTCCCTGGCCTGCAGCTTGGGAAGCACCATCAGGCTGAGATCTGGGCGATCAGTGAAGGCCCAGGACACTAGCAGCCCCTCACCAGGGATTTCCTCCAGGCTGACTTCCAACTAGGAACAGAGACAAAGAGATTGGATTGACTTGCCCCACTCCCAATTCTCCAGGACCCTCCCTTGACAAATTCTACCCCAGAGAGGAACCAAACAGAAAATGCTGGGCCAATTGAACTGTTCCCCCGACCCAACTCAGTTGCCCATGTTTCTATCCACCTGTGTTGGTGGCAGTGTCAGAGTGACGTGGTAGGTCTCCATGGAAACGGCAGCTGGAGACTGCTGGGTCACAGAGACTGGGAACCGCACCTCCTCAGCAAAGAGCTGGCAGCGCAGCACCTGAGACAGGTGAGGCAGGGTCAGGCATGGAGGCAGGGTGCTCACCCTGCTGTGCCCTGCCCTGTGATGGTTCAGCAGACCCCTTCCATCTCCCTTGGGGCTTCACCTCTTTGGAGCCATAAGCACCTAAATGAATCAGACAAAAGCCAGACTCCTTTCCCCAGAAAAATACAGATATATACACACATACAACATTTTGCCCATAACTTTAATGGAATTCTCAGACCTCATGAAACCAATCCTTAGATTATTAAAGCAGCCACAGACTCTCTAGGTTAAGAACCCTCAGACTAAAGGGAATCCTTGGGGTCAACCTTGCTCAGGCCCCAAAGAGGGGATTGCCATCCCTTACCATGGTACGCTCTGATTGGTCTACGCAGGTCACATGACTAATGCTGGTTCTGGGTGAGAGTTGGGGCACCTCCTCAAAGGCGATTTGGATGGAGCTCTGAGGAAGTAATGTGGGAACGGAATCAGTTCTCTGGAGCTACCCCCCACATGGTTGGCCTGCTTAGTTGCTGGCTGGGTCCTGGCACTGCGGATGCCTCAGCTGCAGGCTGGCTTCTGGCCTCACCTTGGCTCAGAATTTCAGGACAAGAGGTATTTCCCTCAAGACCCACCTCTCTAGGGGATTGCAGCTGCTAGAGGCTGGTGAGAACTGCAAAGTTAGACTACTCCTGAGACTAGATAGCTTTAGACTGCAGATCCTGGATGCCTTCTGGAATACCAGGAGCCTCCCTTCTCTCCCTCACCATATATCCAAAAAGAGGTGTACATAGGAAAAAAAATAAAGTATATTTTCAACAATATTATATAATAGCTGGGCAGAGAGAGACAGAACTGAGCTAAGGGTGAAAACAGTAGGGTCACTTATTGCAAGATAAGAGCTGGAGAAATGAGGCCAGACCTTCAATAGGATGTGAAAGCTCAAGAGTATGACTCTATCTATATTGTTAGGAATGAAGAACTGCTCAGCATGGCCTTGGGAAACTTCACCAGAGGTACTGGGAAAAGAAGCAACTTCAGAGGGCTCAAATGTCCAGGGTCCTAGCTAATTCCTCAAGGCAGACAGCAGGATAGTATTAGAGCAGAAAGCTCCTTAGCTTAGGTCTTGAAAGAGCTGTTCCCTAATTCAACCACAGCTGTGAAGAGCAGGATGGGAAGAACTAAGAGGCACAGAATAGGCGCCAATTCTTTCTTGAGCCTTGAGATGGAAGAAACAAATCTGCAGGGCTCACATGCCTGGCAAAACCAAGGGAATCCAATTTCTCTGCTCTGATAGCTCTCATCTTCAAAGACCAGGCCAAGGGAGACAGGGAGATGGATGCTTGGAACCTCAATCTCCCCACCCCCTGCAAGGGAGGCCAATGTCCAGCTGAGTCAGCTGTCCTAGGGAGTTGATTCTGACCCAGGGACAAGGTGCATGAAGAGGGATGGGTTCAAGGTATAAACTGACAGATATCACTTGGCTTTCAGCTGGCCAGCTGGGAAAAGGAAACAGGGCAACTTGTGGCCACTTCTGTTTCTGGGCATTTGGGGAGCTAGTAGGGCAAAACCTCTAGACTTGAGTCTGGAAATGGAGACCCCTCTGAGCAAGACACTGATAGACTGTGAAGGCAAGGAGAGGTTGCTGGGCCAGGATGGGAGAGGGCCCAGAAGAGGGAGACCTCTGCCTTCCACCTAACCTTGGTCTCATGATCATGCTTCCTGCCCCACTTCCTGGGAGGCCAGATGCCCATGGTGCAATAGGAGGAAGTAGGCTGGGCTGGGTAGTGACTGACCCTCAAGGGGCAACTCTAAGTTCATTTATTGGAAAGGATGGATTTCCAATCTGCTCTTTGCCTGGATATTTCCCCCCTCAACAAATACACTGCAGATCAGCATTGAGGAAAAGGATATGTTTGACTGTGGCAGTGAAATTACTGATAAGCATGGGGGTAATTCATGTTCCTTGTGAATGTCCCTGGCCACATCAAGGATTTGGAGCATGAAATGTTAACTGGGTGTGGTGGCATGAGGACCAGGCAAATTCCTCCAGCAGGTGCACCTATCTCCCCTTGCCCAACCAGCACTCAGACTAGGCGGAAGTGCCCTCAGGCAGAGGGATTAGCGTTGCTATGAGAACGGTAACTTGTGCCTGTGTTTGGAGCCAGAGAGTACCTAGCCCACAAAAATAGATTTGGGACATAACTGGATTTTTACAACCCCCACCCATCCTCACCTGCACCATTTGAACTGGGAGGGAAAAGAAGTCATGGGGTTCCCCAGTTGATTCCCCGCCCCCATCTCGCCCTCCTAGTATGAGCAGTCCCTCTACTGGAAGGAAAAGCTAAAGGGACCTCAGGGGTTCCGTCCAACTCACCCCGTCCCTGCAGGCCTGCTCATTCAGCGCTCGCACCCAAGCCCGCTGCCAGTTCTCCCGGAAAGACTTGAAGGCAAAGAGCGACGCCAGGAGGCCCCGGACTCCTGGTTCCTCGGGGGCGCCGGCCCGAGTAGCCCGCAGCCGCAGCAGCGAGCGCCACACGCCCAGCTCACGCAAGGAACCCCCCGGCTCCGTGGCTAAGGCGGTTCCCGAGCCCCGGCCCCTCCGGGCCCGCGCCAGCCATAAACCCCGGGCATATTGCAGCAGCCAGCCAAACACCGTGAGCAGTGAGGCTGCGAAGAGGAAAAGCAGGGCCGCCCAGCCCACGTCCTGCTGCCCCCAGCCCAGAGCCATGCTCTGCGCGGACTCGGGTCCCGGTCCCGGCGGGCTCAGCCGCTGCCCCGGGGGAGCATGGCCCGGGCGGGCCGCGGGGCGGGGGCGGGCTCCCCCGGGGCTGGGCGCGCGGACTCGGGGGCTCTGTTGAGCAGAGTGCCAGGAGCTGGTGGGTGCCACAGATCGAGAAGAGGTCCTCAGGGGTCGCGACGCAGGGGTCCTCTCTCTGTTGCCAGAGTCCCTCGTCGCTTGGTCCTGCAGTCCAACCTGGACTAGTAGCGGGCCAGCGCCCGACTCCTCCCACCGCGCGGGCCCCGCCGGACCCGGGCGGGGACTGATCTGCGGAGACTACGGGGCTCGCGGACCGGCACCGGCTCCTGGAGGTCTGCGTGCGCAGAGCTGACACTGACAACACGGCCGGCGCCCCGCCCCCACCCGCCCTTAAAGGAGCCGCACCCCGCGCGGGGCGGGGCCGGCCAGCCTGGCGCTCAGAGCTGGAGTAGGGCGGGAGGATGAGCAGCGAGCAAAGCGGGTTCCTGGCTTGAAAAATAGGCAGGTTCTTTGACCGCCTCCACCCCATCTTGCGGTCGGGGTGCACCCCTTCACCCCAGCTCAAGGCAAGAGTAACTTCACTTATCTGAGACGCCGCCTCCGTCTTCCCCTACGCATCTTAGATTTCTTCAAGTTAGGCGCCTGTGGGGTTAAGAAGGCGGTGACCCCTGTGGAAATCACTGCCCCCTTCTCCCAATACCCCCAGACTCAGCAGCTTCTAGGTTCCCATTCCCTGACTGAAGCTAGGCCCAGGGTAGAGAGGCGCAGGGCATCCCTCTCAGAAAGAAGTGCCTGGCAGGGTTCCTGTTGATATGACAGAAAGCGGAACCTGAACCTGGTAAAGGTTGAGAATAGAACATGGAGCCTTGAATTCCTTCCATCACCCACCAACCTCCTTCCCCTTGGAGCTAGGACCTAGGAAGATCACCAATTAAACTTCCTCATCCTCGTGTGGGTTTGTTCTGGAGATATTTCCTGAGCCCTAGGATGCATCTGTTTTTAAAAATAATATATTTCCATAGTAACAGCTCCTGCCTATGGAGCACATGTAGAGAGGGTGGTAATGAGAAGGGAGATGGTAACGTAGCACTGGACTATCAATAGATTTGACCAGAAGACTGTACCATCCAAATATGTAGGTGATATCCCATCGATGCAGTAGTGCAGGCTTATAGAGCTAGCTACTCAGGAGGCTGAGGTGGGAGCAGCATTTCAACCCAGGAGTTGGGAAAAAAAGTAGGAGTTCAAGGACAACACAGTGGTGAGAGCTTCAAACAAATCCTCCCCCCACCAAAAAAAAAAAAAAAAAAAAAACCAACAACAACAACAAAAAAAAAACCCAAAGCCCCAAATATGTGATATCGCAACAAGTTTCCCCCAAAATGGTGTTGTAGGTATATTGTTCAATCTCTGGTCTCAGGACCTACCCCTTTTCCTAGTTTTAGAGAGTATTCCATCCCTATAGGTTTGGGGCTTATCTTTGCTTTCTGGGGAAAGAAAAACCTACAGAAGAATTCAAAGGCATTCCTATGCCCCAAGAGCCCCTTCTTCACACATATGGGAAGGTCTCTGGCACATAGTGCCTTCCAGAGAGGTAGAAAGGAAGGTGTTAAATATCTTCCAAATCCATTTGGTTGTCTAAAGAATGAGCACAGGAGAATAACCAACACCTTCTAAAGCATGGGTTGTAAGGCTAGGAAGGACCTGGCAGGTTGGCAGCAGGGTCATATGAGGCAGAGAAGAGTCTGAGGTATCCTTAAATTCCAGTGTAAGGAGTAATGTGGAGAAGTGGGTGATGAGGTAATCTTACTATGGCCCTGCTCACACAATATCACCAAACTCCAAAAACAATGGGGATTCCTAGAGTTTCCATTTCTAGTATCAGGGGAGCGGAAGATGTGAAATCAAGGGAGGAAAAGCTCAGATCCAGAACCCACGAGGGAGTGTTGAGTGGGCAGAACAATCAGGATTAGAGGAGAAGACTTTGCTGGAAGTGTCCACATGCAAAAGACCCTCTTCTACCAAGAATCCTTCTTTAGGAAAATTTGGACCTCCCAAGGATCTCAGTTCTCTGAGTTCAGATTCATTTCCTCAACTCCTCCACTAGGTGCTTGGTCCTATGCTGCCAGATCTGCTTCCAAATTCAGTCTTACATGAATTAGTTAGACCTCAAGCACCCATTTCATTTTGCATTACAATCTAGCTGGTTGTTTAAATGTTTGTTTTTTCTGTTCATCAGGAAATTGCCTAAGAGTGAGGACCATGTCTTACTCATCTCTCTTCCCTCATGTTCAATCAAGGTACTTTAAATATGCCAAAGTTCTCCTTGGGGGAAGCAATTGCATTTATATCACTTTGTGTTCCCTATTTTACTTAAAGAGTTTCCTATGTATATAAGTAAGGATTTTCAAATTGCTTGTAATTTTAAGAAATGTAACAGAAAATATTCCAATATATATGTAAACACTAAGAATTTCTGTATTTCCATCTTTGGAATGGAATGGGAGCTCCTAGGGCTTGCTTTCAGCTAAGGACTTTTGTTAGCTGGACTGATAGGGGAAGGGTAAAAAGACACAGTGCCACAGGCAGTGGCGCATGCCTGCAATCCCACTACTTGAGGCTAAGGTAGAAGGATCACAAATTCATGATAAGCCTAGGCAACTTAGTGAGACCCTGTCTCAAAATAAGAAAATAAGAAGGGCTGGGGATATAGGTCAGTGTTAGAGCAACTCTGCATTCAATTCCCAGTATTGTGAAATGGCAGGGGGCAAGGAGCAACTCAGCTGCCTGGGCAGAGCTACAATTAGGGTCCTATAAGTGTCACAGTCCTGGACTATCAAGAGCAGTCTCATGGTCTTTTTAAATACTGTGAAATATTTTCAGGAAAAGTTTAGTCTGGAAATGAACTTAATAATGGATTGGAGTGAGCACAGTGGGGAACATCTATAATTCCAGTGACTTGGGAGGCTGAAGCAGGAGGATCACAAGTTCAAGGCCGGCCCCAGCAATTTAGCAGGACCCTGTCTCAATAAATAAAAGGGGCTGAGTATGGTGGAACATGTTTGTAATCCCAGTGACTTTCGGGAGGCTGAGGCAGAAGGAGCGAAAGTTCAAAGCCATCCTCAGCAACTTAAGGAGGCCCTAAGCAACTAAGCAAGACACTTTTTCAAAACAAAATATAAAAAAGGGTTGGGGATGTGGCTCAGTAGTTGAGCCCTTGGTTCAATCCCCAGTAACAATAAAATAGAATAAAAAGGACTAGGGAGGTAGCTCAAGGTTAAAGTGCCTCTGAGTTCAATCTCTCATACCGCCCCCCCACCAAAAAAAAAAAAAAAAGTGGATTGGTTTTACTTACTTGGAGCTCAGGGCTGCTCAGAAGGAAATTTACATTGTAAACATTGCCTGCTCAGCCCAAGACCAGTAACAACTCAGATGATTTATAAATCCTAATGACTGTTTTTCAGCATTCAGCTACTGCTTTGAACTTTTACTAGAAAAGGCCCAAATTTTCAAGTGAGTCATGTGTTTGTTTCTCTCTCTGATTAGTCTGATAATCAATTGGGCATTTACCATTATGGGAACAAAATTATTCAAATTATATGACAAATATCTAGGTAACCATTTTCTGATGGTAACATATATATGGATGATGAATCCTTGATGTATTGTCCTCTTATTCAAGGGGATGGATGGGATGATGATTTTTGGAGAAGAGATTTTAGGGCTTAAGCCAGGTGGGAAGGAAAATTTATGAGGATTGGCCTTCTAACAATAATAATAATAAAATAGATACAGATTGTATCTCAGACCTTCAGGGAGTCTCAGACGGCTAGGCTCCTGATCAACAAGATAACTGAATGGTGCCTTCTCTGGGGATCACCCAAGCTCCTCCTTTCCACCTGCTCCTAACATCTCATTCTCACTCTCCCATGTGGAAGAAAGGATTTTCTACTCTTACCACTTACTGAAATCTTTTGAGAAAATTCTCTTCTTTAAGGCCCTCTCACTTTCTCTGGTCACAACCTGTTGCACCCTCCATGTGCACCAATTACTCTCTATTCATCTTCCAGATACAGATTCATGTGATGATGCCTTGTACACACATGTCCTTGTGTCCTTAGCCCCATGGGGACACCCTGTGGAAAGGAAAACACTTGCCTCCAGAGACTTTGCACGCACAAACACAGAAAAACAAAATCTGATGGAATACTATCCAGTAAATTAGTGGGATTATATATGTATGTATTTAATACATTTTGTTGTTGTTGTTAATTATAGCCACCTTCAAGTAGAAAGGGCAGTTTATACCTGATATGGAGAGAAAGGAAAGATTGTCTTTGACCTAAAAAGAGCCAGTCCTATCCTGATAACTAAAATATGACATATTGGAAAGGATGGACAAAGTAGGAGACTATTTGAGTCATCTCTTAATTCCAGGTTGTGATTTCCTGTCTGAAGAATGGAAGTAATTTGCTTGTGGTGTGTGTGTGTGTAAGAGAATGAAGATGCAGGTGAACTGTTAATTGCAGGAGAAAAGTGTCAAACAAAAGTACAGCAATGTGGAGAAAGAAACCTGACTAGGAGGAGATGGGCAGGCTCACAAGAAGCCAGGTGTGGATCTGGTTCTCCTGTCTCCTTAGTCCTTTCCAATGCCTAGGCCTCCATCTGCTCGTTCTGGGAGCTTGGCACAATGCAGTGATCCAAGAGCAAGTTAAAGTCCCGAGTTAAATTCAAGACCTAAAGGCACTTCAGTAGTGAGGTGCCTCACTGGGTTGCCGGGCAACGAACTGTTACAGTGGGGGCAGGAGGTGGGTGGGATGTTGAGGGAAAAGTACAGAGTGGGAGGGGCTTTTCAAAAGTCTACGCTTTAGAATTTACATCATCCTTCTAAATTGCAGCTGCGCTTATGGCAACCGAGTTGTGTTTACCTTGACTTCGACTACGTTGACAACAGGTTATTTGAACAGTAGATGAGGTTCCACACCCTCGTTCCTCCCGCTCGTCCCCCGGCTTCCAGTAGCCATCTTCCTGGCTCCAAGACATCCCGGATTAAGCGCTGGGTACTGGCCCTTTAAACGTGACCTGCGGGGGCGACCTAGCCAAAACTGACGTGGAGAGAGTGTGAGTAGGGTCGAACACGTGGTACAATGAAGGCGTTCATTTTGGAACCGGGCAGGGGGCATTTCCGCCCTGGGATGTACATCTTTAATACAGTATTAGGAGAGTATCCGCTCTTGCTTGTCTTTCTTTAATTGTTTCTCCACTACTCTTGTCATGACTCTACTCTGGAACAAAAGTGTAGTTTAAATTAACACTTCTGTTCCCTCGCTAGTGCCCGTATTAAAAATGGCGTCGCTTCCTTCCGTGTTGATAGTTCTTTTGCAATCAAGATCCGGGCGGAAACTCTGGATGGGCAGGTGCAGCCGGGCAGAGCCGAGGTTGCTTTGTAAAGCTTTCTGGGGATCCCGAGGGCGAGTCAAATCAGAGTTGTTGGGTTTTGCTCCCGCTGACTCTGCTTGTGAGGAGCGGCCAATGCTGAGGCCTCAGGGCTATTGCCTAGCTTGCCAGTTAGCTGAGTAGGCGGCCGAGCGGTGCCCCTAGCGGGTTAACATGTGGGCCTTTCCGGACTTGCCCGTGCCGCTGCTGGTGAATTTGATCGGCTCGTTGTTGGGATTTGTGGCTACACTCACCCTCATCCCAGCCTTCCATGGCCACTTTATCGCCGCGCGCCTCTGTGGCCAAGACCTCAACAAAACCACTCGGCAGCAGATGTGAGCGGCGGCACACGGTGTCCCGGGCAGGGGATCGGGCGGGCGGGCAGGGGATCTGGTGGGTAGGCAGGGGCGAAGACTGAGGTGCTTGACTTTGCACGCGACCGAGAGCTAACCAAGGAAACCTGGAAAGAGGGAGGTGTTGGAAAGAACTGGTTAGCCTGGGGAAAGGATGGATGGGAGACCCTTGGGTGTGTCAGGAACTCCAGCAGCGGTGCCCTCCTCATCCCCGCCCCGCCAAAGAACTGGGAAGAAGACCATTATGGGTTTCTGTAACGTCTGCACTAGTAAGTGACCACGCCCCCTTTCTTCTCCACACACCCCCCCTTCACTGAACCCTTGCTGCTGGACCACAGCCCAGAATCCCAGGGAGTCATCAGTGGTGCAGTTTTCCTTATCATCCTCTTCTGCTTCATCCCTTTTCCTTTCCTGAATTGTTTTGTGGAGGAGCAATGTAAGGCATTCCCCCATCATGAAGTAAGTGAGTTAATGGGAGTCACTGGCTGGAGCCTGGGAGGTGAAAGAGTTGGGGTTATTTGGACTGGGGTAAGGGGGCTGAGGAACGAACTGAAAAGACGGGACTTCTTGTTAGGAGGGCGGATAGTGTTGCATTATAACATTTCTGAGCCTCCCCCAGTTTGTGGCCCTGATAGGTGCCCTTCTTGCCATCTGCTGCATGATTTTCTTGGGCTTTGCTGATGATGTACTCAATCTGCGCTGGCGCCATAAGCTACTGCTGCCCACAGCTGCCTCACTACCTCTCCTCATGGTCTATTTTACCAACTTTGGCAACACAACCATTGTGGTACCCAAGCCCTTCCGACCAATTCTTGGCCTGCATCTGGACTTAGGTGAGTAGCACTATCAATACTGCACCTGTGGCATCTACTTCATACCCTTCACTGCTGTGAGATATCCAACACAGCAGACTTCCTAGTGCTCCACATTCTCCTCTAAGTGTTCCTGTTCTTCCCTGTTTACTCAGATCCTTTTTGGTGACTCTTTATCCTATGATGTGTTTTCATTACTTTTCTCAAAAGAATATCCTTAAATCTTCCCTCCCTAGGTGGTATTAACTTCTTTTCATACTATGTCTCCCCCCAGGGATCCTTTACTATGTCTACATGGGGCTGCTGGCAGTGTTCTGTACCAATGCCATCAATATCCTAGCAGGGATTAATGGCCTAGAGGCTGGCCAGTCTCTAGTTATCTCTGCTTCCATCATTGTCTTCAACCTGGTGGAGCTGGAAGGTAGGTGGGATTGGGATAGGGAGAAAGAGAAGTCTGAGTATTAAGGAAGTTGTCTTATTTATGGCTTTAGGGAATTCAGGAGGAAAAAAAGAAACAATATGTGAGTAATTATAAAAGATAATGGAGACTATTTACTTTGCAAATAACAATAGAGAGTTATCAAATTTGAGAAAGAAAAATAGCTCTGTCATTTATAGCTGGAGTGGCACAAATAGCAAGGCTGTATCTTCTATTGTACAGAAACAGTTTCACAGACCCCAGCATCAAAATCACTCTCTGACCATGATGGAACACAGCAAAAACCAGACTCTTCACTCACAATCATGTCTGAGCACAGACAAACCATGAGATACCCACAAAAATGACCAAGAACCCCTCTTAGCATGAGAGACCCTGGCTTCTTTCCAGTAACAATGGTTCCTCCTGCTTTTTAGGTTTAAAAAAAAAAATATATATATATATATATATATATATATATATAAAATATGATGTATATAATTATATATACTAAGTATATATTAATATATATTAAGATGCTTAATCATAGAATTAGCACAATTCTTATTTCCTTGTACCTCCCCAGAATTATCTAAAATGAATCCTATAAAAAGCCTCTCCTAATACCCCACCAGAATGAAACATTCTGTTTCCCTATGGTGTGTAGTCTCTATAATCACCCTTTTTATGTTAGTAAACCCAACTTTGACTATCGATGTGTGTCTGGTAGTCTTTGACAGATGGATATCAACAAGTACTTATTAATGTTAAATGCTTTTAAAACATGTTATTTAAATCTTGAAACCATTCTATAACAGGTGTTATCATTTGTCCTATCTTACAGATGAGGAAAGTCACTTATGTGACATGGAAGATCACATAGCTAGGAAGTAAAGCTGATATTCAAACTGAAGTCAGAATGACTAAACCAAATTTAAGACATTAACCAGTTTTTGATTGCTTCCGTAAAATGGTGGAACACTTGAAATTGCCTGGTGACCTAAAAGGGGGTAATAGATTCTTAAAAGTGACTTGGGTGAGCTGGATGATATAGCTGGGATACAAACAAAAATAGGATGAGAGCACACAGAAAAGTATGGGTATTCACTTTTCCTTTTTCCTTGCTTTCAAAGGTGATTATCGAGATGATCATGTATTTTCCCTCTACTTCATGATACCCTTTTTTTTCACCACCTTGGGATTATTCTATCATAACTGGTAAGTAGCCTGGTGGATAAGGAAGACAACTATCTGAACACCTGGCAAAGATGGTCCTGATAACAACCTAGCTCTTAATGGAGAGGCTAAATCTATGCATACCTTCATTGACTGTTTTCTGGGTCTTCAGATAGTAGCATTCTATCACTTTTCCCCGTGTTGCTAGAAAAGCCGTGGCTTTGGCACATGCCAGTCAAGTACTCTACCACTGAGCTACACAGCCTGATAGTATTCTGAAATTATTCTCTGCTGAGTAGAAGTTGGGGATGTATGCTATGGAGCCCCCAGGAATAGATGAATTCAGGGCCTTGGGTCCTGCAGAGTGGCTGTGACAACTATAGCCTCCTCTCAAAACTAGGGTCAGGGTGAGCTCACTGCTGAGAGTGTGTGATGTGGGAGAGAGTATTGGTAATGTCTCTTGCCACTGGTTCAGATGTTCTTTCCTACACAGGTATCCATCACGAGTATTTGTGGGAGATACCTTCTGCTACTTTGCTGGCATGACCTTTGCCGTGGTGGGCATCTTGGGACACTTCAGCAAGACCATGCTACTCTTCTTCATGCCACAGGTGTTCAACTTCCTCTATTCACTGCCTCAGCTCCTGCATATCATCCCCTGCCCTCGTCACCGTATACCCAGGTAGCCACTTTGGGGCATCATAGCCTTTCACTTGGGATATCTAAAGCCAGCCTATATATTTGCTTTGTAGGCTCCAAGGAAGAGCTAACTCTTCCCTTGTAGGTAGCCATTTATAATTTACAAAGCACATTTACTTACATCATTTCATTTAAAGTTCATTGCAGTTCTGATCATACAGCAGAGCCAGAAATAGATCTCAAGTTGTTTGATTTCACATTCAGTGCTTTTCCTAGTAATTAACTACAGGGAGGAGAGAGGTCTTTGACTAGAGGGCTGATCACATGAATCTGTCTTCCCCCCTGCAGACTCAATACCAAAACAGGCAAACTGGAGATGAGCTATTCCAAGTTCAAGACCAAGAGCCTTTCTTTCTTGGGCACTTTTATTTTAAAGGTAACAAGGTAACAAGGAGGTAAGGCCCCAGGCCACCATTCTGAACTCAGGAAATGGGGATCCTAGGTCTACATCAGATCCAAGGGGAGGCTGGCAGTATTAAGTAGATCCCCATTCCTGAAACGTAGGTATTAGCTGAACTTCTCTTCACCTCTGGTCCCTCCAGGTAGCAGAAAGCCTCAGGCTAGTCACAGTGCGCCAGAGTGAGAATGAGGATGGTGCCTTTACTGAGTGTAACAACATGACTCTCATCAACTTGCTGCTTAAAATCTTTGGGCCCATACATGAGAGAAACCTCACATTGCTCCTGCTACTGCTGCAGGTGAGATTGAGGGTGGAGTTTATACCTCTTTGTCTCCTGTTCTCCGTGGTTCTTATTCCAGTCCATTTCTCCTTGCAGATCCTGGGCAGTGCTATCACTTTCTCCATTCGATACCAGCTTGTCCGACTCTTTTATGATGTTTGAGTTCCCTGAAGATTGCCCTTTACTATGGCACAGTCTCCAGGGTCTTAACCTGGGCCAATCTTGTGTCCAAGACTGCCTCCAGGCCCAGGCCTCTCCCACTGTTCACTATACTCCAGATTTTGTTGTTGCGTTTTCCTTCACCAGTTATTATCGACTTTCTGGGCCTTTCTAGCCCTCCAATGATATTAATTGGACTTTGGCTATGATTTTCTTCATCTTGCCACTTTCCCTTCCCATCTGATCTTTGCAGCCTCCTAAGGTGGGATGCAGCAACTATAATGCAGATACTTATAATTTAACATTCAGAGTCCTGACTCAAGGAATATGCTTCCAGATAGAATACCAGTCGGTCTCCAGTTCCCTAGCTGACTATATTGGCTGCTGAGGAAGGGCCACTACACAGACATTGATACTTTAAATTAAGTGTTCTGATTAGTAAGGTGGGGGCAGATGCTCTCACTGGTGACAATAAAGAGTTGATTTTTTTCTTGTTGTTCCTTGTAGGTATATTTCCTCTATGAGCAGATTAGGAGAGATTGGGAGAGTTTGGAGGTACCTCTTCCAAGAGAATGCCTATCTCTGACACTTTCTAGCAAGCAGTAAACAGAACTGAGCCCAAACAGAACATGTTGAATAAATATTGAAACACACTTCAGGTGAGATGGAGGATTTGTGTTCTGGCATAGGATGGAACTTTCAAGAGGCCTTCTTTCTTTCTTTTTTACACACCCTTTGCCAGATAAGAGGAGGGAGTGAGGAGTGAACAGACCTGGAAGGGAGGCAGTGATAGTTGTAGAGTTGACTCCTTTCCTTTAAAAATCATAGGCCAGCACGGATTTCCCAGGGGCTATCCAGCAGGGATTCAGGTGCTACCCTTTTTGGCTTCCGGTTTTGGTCTCTGGCTATAGGGTTTAAATCTCCCGCGCTTTACATGGATTGGCCACACTCGGAGGTGGTAGGCCGGCTGTGTGCTATCGCTCTTCCTCGTCTTTTTCCCCGGGCAAAAGGTTTTCAAATTCGACCAATCGCCGGGCGCGCTTTCCCAGCTGAGGCACGTCACGGAAGGGTTAATCGCAACCAACCGGAGGCGGGTATTGGAGAAAAGAACCAATCGGAAGGGCGCGGGGGTGTGCCCTAGGGGCTTATAAGGGCGGCCCTGCGGCGCGCGCGGCAGCAGTTGGACTGCGGCGGGCGGCAGTTGAGAAGTCTTCAGAGACGCTGTTCTTCACTGTTCTACCTCGCGCATTATGTCCGGTCGCGGCAAGACTGGCGGCAAGGCCCGCGCTAAGGCCAAGTCGCGCTCTTCTCGCGCGGGTCTCCAGTTCCCTGTGGGCCGAGTACATCGGCTGCTGAGGAAGGGCCATTACGCCGAGCGAGTGGGCGCCGGCGCGCCGGTTTATCTGGCGGCGGTGCTCGAGTACCTCACCGCTGAGATTCTGGAGCTGGCGGGCAACGCGGCCCGCGACAACAAGAAGACGCGTATCATCCCCCGCCACCTGCAGCTGGCCATCCGCAACGACGAGGAGCTCAACAAGCTTCTGGGCGGCGTGACGATCGCTCAAGGGGGCGTCCTGCCCAACATCCAGGCCGTGCTGCTGCCCAAGAAGACCAGCGCCACCGTGGGGCCGAAGGCGCCGGCGGGCGGCAAGAAGGCCACCCAGGCCTCTCAGGAGTACTGAGGGGTGCCCGCGCTGCGGCCGGCTGCCCAGCCCTCCCTATGCTATCACAAAGGCCCTTTTAAGGGCCACCACCGCCCTCACGGAAAGAGCTGAGCCACGTTGGGCCGCTAGGCGTGCGAACCGCGGCGCCCGGCCCCCTCCCCTCGCGTCCCCGCCGCCTCCCACCCTCCCCTCCCCCGCGCCCGCACGGCCTGCCGCGGCGCTAGAGGGCCTCGGTCCTTGTCCTGGCTACCGGGAGGAGGGGCGGGCTGGCGTCCTTCTCTGGCTCGTTCGGGGCCCTTGCGCCGCGGGACTGGGCTGGGGGCGCAGCACCTGCCCTCCTTGGTGCGGGTATCTCAGAATGGCTGGTGGGCTGCGGTAAGGCCACAGCACCTTCTGGAAGACTTGCTTTCCGCGTTGACGTAGGGCAGAGGTGGGCAGCCAAGGCCAAGAAGCCGGCAGCCCTCAAGGTGAGTTCCTCAGTTGCTGCAGCCTGGATGTATCATTTCTTCAGCGTGGTGCTTAGCTCTTGCCAGGACTTTCAGACGTTGACTGTTGATTTCCAGGCTTTGAGAGAAATCGATCACTTGTTTTGGTTTGGTGCCCCCTTTATGCCAAGTCCCAGGATTTTCAGTCATCTCCGTCTTCATTCATAGGCCTATGTGGTGTGGCCAGGACAAATCTTTCCTCCTGAGATGACTCCTAGGAAATTTGCTCCAGTTTGGACATAGAGTTGTTTTGTGCTGAAAGAGACTGAAAACTGGGCCTGTCGGGCTTATCAACCCCATTTCCCTTCCAGCCATTAAACTCGGCAATCCAAGCACCTAGATACCAGCACATGTCAGTTAATCCCTGGACTGAGCCTCTCTTGGCTTCTGAACTGGAATTTTGCAGCTAACCCATCCACGACTAGAACCTTAAGTATTGGGGAGTTTCAGATGGTCTAATTTTGTTTATTAAAGGATTCTTTTTTTAAAAAAAATGAAGTGTCTGTTTTCATTTTACAAGAGTTGTAGGGTTAATAACATGTATGCTTTCTTTCCTGAAGTAGTGGGGTGGAAGAGACTAATGTTAAATATGCTGTACTGTTAACTGGAAAAGGGACAACCTAGGATTTGGGTTTTTTTTTTTTTTTTTTTGCGGTGCCAGAGGCCTCTGTACTGTGCAAGTGCTCTACCACTGAAGTACACTCTAGGCTCTAAGCCATAGATTTTAAAGCAATTCTCTTGCTTTCTTGGTGCTCCCTGTGAGACAATGGACTTGTTTGAAATTACTGTCAAGGTATAAACATTGAAGAGCTGGGAGCCTTGCCATAACTAATTCCAGCAGCGCCAGAAGCTCCAAGGCTGAGACTGGAGGATCCCAAGTTCAAAGCTAGCCTCAGCAAAAGGAAGGTGCTAAGCATACTCAGTGAGACCCTGTCTTAATAGGGTTGGGGATGTAGCTCAACCCACCCCCCACAAAAAAAAAAAAAAAGTTCCAGGAGAACATTGAGCAAAGGTCTTAGACTCAAGTAAGGTTTAAGAGTTTTGCCAGGCATGGTGACTAATGCCCATAATCTCAACAACTCTGGGGGCTGACACAGGAGGATCACAAGTTTGAGACCATCCTCAGCAATTTAATTTAGCAAGGCACTAAGTTTAGTGAGATCCTGTCTCAAAAAGGGCTAGGGATGTAGCTCAGTGGTAAAGTGCCTCTGGGTTCCATTCCTAGTTAAAAAAAGGGGGGGGGGGATGGGTGGGGGAGGGGCTTTATCTCTTTTTCTCCAGCCCCACCAAAACAACCATTTTTCAGAGCTGGTTTATTAGTAGAGTTGGTTACATTCAAAGACTGGCTTGGATGTCTAAAAAGAGATGACGCCCCACTTAACAGAAGGCAAGGCAGTCATCAATGCCCCAAGGTGAGGCAAGTCCTTGGAAGTCTCAGACCCTGCAGTTCAGTCTGGGGTAATCACTCCCCATTGATCACAGGTGTCCTGAAGGCTAGACATAGGCACTGGAAAGTGGCAATTCAAGCACTTGAACCCCACAGGCCATTTAGTGGACATCATTAAGCTGCCGTGCAACATCCAGGATGTTCTTGGCTCCTTTGTTCAGCAACAAGCTGGCCAGGCTGATGCCCAAGTTCTCAGCAGCCAGCTGGGCTCCTCTCGGAATGTTCCGGGCAGTGATGCCTACCAGTTGTGGATCATCCTCTGGGCCATCGTCATACTGGATGAAGGAAGGAGGTGAGATTTGGTGAGAATGACAAGATTACATGCACTATTATTCATTACTCCCTCCTCACCCTCCATCCTTGGTACCTGGGTGGGGACATGGATGGTAGCCTGCATTGTCTCTTGCATGCTATCTGAGCCATCTAGACTCCAGACTCCTCCAGTCAAGTACAGCTGGGAAAGAAAATGGTTGCTTCAGCATATTCCGAGAGGACTGCTTAGAAACCTAGGATGCATAGGGAGAAATGCCGTAGTCCTTCCCTGTCTTCCCACCCATTTTCCCCTACTTACTTGCCCATCTTTTATCACTGTATGCACTGCTACTGGCACACTGCAACCTCCTTCCTGCAATGAAAAGTTCCTATGCTTTGACCACAGCCCTCAGAGATACAGAGGACATAACTGAAAAGGCTGCTGGGCCAAGACCTGCATCCTCCACATTCACAACATTCAACAAGAATGAGTGATCACTACATACACAGCACATCCTGGCTGCCCACCCCCCTCCTCCAGGGCAAGCACAGGTCCTACCAGGTGCCTCAGAAAAGCTCTTTCAGCGATGCAGCGAAGCAGAGTCTCAGGATCATGTAATACACCCACTAGATCCAAGATGTCCTGGTCCTTGGCTCGGACTTCCACAGCCAGGGCCCCCTGATGAAAACACATCAAGCTTGATCTTCGCTCAACTAATGCAGCTAAGGATGGGAACCACCCTTCTGCCTGTTCCCCAGGGTCTTTGGGGCCAGTAGCAATCCAAGGCCCCCTCCCTGATAATTTTATTTTGAGGAATGCAGATATTGTAGGTTGTGAGACCAGATTCCTTGTTGAGAACAAAGGGAAGGGAGCAAATTAACAAGTGGCTTCTCAAGCTTACCTGGCCTACAGCATACATGCATTCCTCTGGATGTAGGATCTGTGGAAGTAGAACAGGTAGAAGGGTGGGGAGAGGTCAGGGATGCCCAAAAGCATCCAGCAATGAGATGTACTTCGATTAACATCTAGAAAGCCTGAGGAGGCACAAGCAGGAGTCTGGCCTTTGTTTTCCAATCTCCCCCATCCTGGGAATCTATTTGCAGCATTAGATTAGAGGTCAGGTGGGGCTGAGGCTGTAGCTCAGTGGCAGAGCACTCACCTAGCATTTATGAGGCACTGGGTTCAATCCTTAGCACCATATAAAATGAAACAAATAAAGGCATACTGCCCATCTACAGTGACAAAGAAAAAAAAAAAAAAAAAGGAGGAGGAGGTGGTACAGCCAGGCATGGCAGTGCAGTACACACCTGTAATCCCAGCAGCCCAGGAGGCTGAGACAGGAGGAGTGCAAGTTCAAGGCCAGCCTCAGCAACTTAGTGAGGCCCTAAGAAACTCAGTGAGATCCGGCCTCAAAATAAATAAATAGGTAAATAAATAAATATAAATCAACAACCAAATAAACAGGGCCGAGAAGAGAATGTAGCTCAGTTGTAAAGTGCCCCTGGGTTAAATCTCTAGTACAAAAAAAAAAAAAAAAAAAAAAAAAGAAAGAAGGAGGAGGAGGAGATGGTACAGGAAGGAAGGAGAAACAGATGAACTCAGGGAGGAGAAATTGGAAGCCCCTACCTGGCCCACCCGGTTCTGCCA